TCCGTTCCGCATATCCGTTCCGTTCCGCATTTTAACCCCATATCCGTTCCGCATATCCGTTCCGTTCCGCATTTTAACCCCATATCCGTTCCGCATATCCGTTCCGTTCCGCATTTTAACCCATATCCGTTCCGTTCCGCATATCCGTTCCGCATCCGCTTCCGCGTTTTAACCTAACCCATCAAATGACAATACCAGATCAAATGACAGTACCAGATCAAATGACAATACCAGATCAAATGACAGTACCAGATAAATGTCCTCATTCCTCAACATTTACATAAAAAAGGTCTAAATCATTTAAACTTAAAATCATAATTATAATAATTGTAGGATTATGTTTTTCTTGACGCCGAAGTTTCCTCTCCATAAGCTGTGGAGATGTAACCTTTAACATCTGTCATTTTTTCCTAAACGTATAAACAAAATGCCGCGATCACTCGGGCCGACTTCACGTTTTTATACCGAATGTTAATGACGAATAGCACTGAATCGGCCGGAAAAATCGCTGTGTGTAAACGTAACTAAAAATTGCCCAGAGAATCGCAGTTTCAGTAAACGCAGCCTAAAGGCCCACACTGCAGACCGGACGCGATTCGGCAACGCGACGCGAATTTTTAGTTTTCAAAAACAAATAAAACCGTTGACGGATAAAAATTTTACAAGATATGCGGACCAAATACGGCTAAAATTGCTGAAGAGGTTCCGAATATTTGAAAAACGTAGAAAAATATTGAAGTTAAACGTCATTGAAAATTGAAAATCCGCGTTGCCAAATCGCGTCCGATCTGTATGAACCTTAAAACATCAACTAGCAGTCTTAGTGTAAACTGTTTCTAGTTACCATATTATGTAGCCGTATCGTGTGTGCAGATCTTAAGAGGTTTTTTCCTAACATTTTTCAGACTGTGTGGTCAGGTATATTCCTGCGAGGTCAGGTTGACCCGAGAGTGGATAGCGAGATGTGGAATGAAGTCAGGAATATTCAAACTAAAAATAAAGAACTTAAAACCAAAGCTCTTGAATTGAGAAGGTATTGTATGCTTTTATACTCTGTTTTACATGTTTTTATACCATCAACAAGACTGTTCAACTATTATACATGAACTTGTGGCTAGAGCTCGACAACTGGCCTCTGTAGCTCAGTTGGTTAGAGCTCGACAACTGGCCTCTGTAGCTCAGTTGGTTAGAGCTCGACAACTGGCCTCTGTAGCTCAGTTGGTTAGACCTCGACAACTGGCCTCTGTAGCTCAGTTGGTTAGAGCTCTTGGCCTCTGTAGCTCAGTTGATTAGAGCTCGACAACTGGTCTCTGTAGCTCAGTTGGTTAGAGCTCGACAACTGGCCTCTGTAGCTCAGTTGGTTAGAGCTCTTGGCCTCTGTAGCTCAGTTGATTGGAGCTCGACAACTGGCCTCTGTAGCTCAGTTGGTTAGAGCTCTTGGCCTCTGTAGCTCAGTTGATTAGAGCTCGACAACTGGCCTCTGTAGCTCAGTTGGTTAGAGCGCTGCACCGGGATCGCAGATTCGATTCCTGCTCGGGACCTAAAGTTGCATTTTTCGCAGCTGTTTCTGTTTTCGGGGTCGGTTGTTACATAGCCTATCGAAAGGGAGATGTGAAACTCATTAGAATAACAATATAACTCTTTATTATACATTTAATATGTATTCTCGTTTCTAATTGGTCAGAAAGCACCGGCTAATTTTCAGTATTCGGCATTTATTACGTATTTTCCGCCGGTGACGTCATCAGCGTCCAATAATTGTTTTTTTGGATCGAACTTGCATCCAAAAAAAATATTATTGCACTCTCTCGTGCCCAAACCCTTGCGCGGCCAAAGGCTTGAACCTATAAGCGCGCGAAAAAAACCCAAACAAACAATGGCCTACAGCAGATTTGCTTCGCTGAATGAAAGTGAACTCTCCAAATTATTGGCAGATAAGGATAGTGAAAGCACGAAAAAAGCCACAAAGGGGTAAATAGAAGTAGAATATAATATTTAGCTGACCTTTGACTTTGTGCAAGGTATTTGATATTCAAATTGTACTTTTTCTACCTCATGAACAGGAATCGTTTTATACGTTTCTCATGTCTTTAAATGTATAATAAAACAATTATTGGATTCTGCTTTTGCATGATATCAAGAATTATTCAGACCTCGGTTTATGTTATCCGCCTCAGCTTCGCTTCGGCAGATAACATTGACCTCGGTCTGAATAATTCTTGATATCATGCTCAGCCTCATCCAATAATTGCTTATTATCTATGTTAGTCAATGTTTATTCATAGATTTTGCCAAATCCACCAATAGCAATTTTCAATATACCCTATTGTTCGAGTCACGGATACCTATCCGTGACTTTCCTAAAACATTGCTATTGGTTAGTTGGGCAAAAATACAATACACACGTGACGTTGAAGGACCAGATTTATGAATAAACGTTGACTAACATAGATAATAGGGTCATTTATACGAGCGAAAATAAGTCGCGGCCTAAATAAGCCGCGGCCTAAATAAGCCGCGGCTTAAATAAGTCGCGAACAACTCGTATAAACAGTCAATTTGCAATAAGCCGCGGCTGATTTAGGCCTAGTTTTCAACTCTGGGATTATTTTAGCCGCGGCATGCAAACAAATTGACTGTTTATACGAGTAGTTCGCGACTTATTTAAGCCGCGGCTTATTTAGGCTGCGGCTTATTTTCGCTCGTATAAATGGCCCTAATGTTATTCTAGTGAGTTTCACAGCCATCTTCCCTTCGATAGGCTATGGTTGTTATCAGGCTTGGTGTTTTCAAGGTCGGTGTTTTCATGGTCGGGTTATGTTCAGGCTTGAGGTTTTCAAGGTCGGTGTTTTCATGGTCGGGTTATGTTCAGGCTTGAGGTTTTCAAGGTCGGTGTTTTCATGGTCGGGTTATGTTCAGGCTTGAGGTTTTCAAGGTCGGTGTTTTCATGGGCGGGTTATGTTCAGGCTTGAGGTTTTCAAGGTCGGTGTTTTCATGGGGGGGTTATGTTCAGGCTTGAGGTTTTCAAGGTCGGTGTTTTCATGGTCGGGTTGTGTTTAGGTTTGGGGTTTTCAGGGTCGGCGTTTTCAGCCTCGGTGTTTTTAGGCTCGCCGTTTTCAGGCTCGGGTATTTCAGGCTCGTTGTTTCTGGGTTAGGTTCAATCAATATAAATTTCCACTCGATATTTTCCATCTATACAAAGACTCTTCGACACAATACTGTATTGAACGTTTTAGGCAATATGTTGAACTCCAAGCCAAAGTTCGCACGAAGTTAAAAATGGATCGCCCCACTGACGCCAGCACCACCCGTGAATCACCTTAATCAATGTACGATGTAAACCGGACAAAACTGTAAGTACAAACTGTTAACAATATCATATTTCGATATTGACGTTTACGAGAGTGATAACAGAGTATGAGAGGTCCGATCGGGCACAGCCGAAAACCCCTAGGCCAATCGTAACCGCATGTACATAGTCGCAATCGTAAACTCCCAATGCAGTCGCCTTCTTCAGTTTAGCCAGTGCGCTTACGAGAGGTACTCGCCCCCCTGAAAATCTAAACCAAGCTGGTTAGGGACGGACCATTAGAAAAGTTATGGGGGGGGGGGGAACAAAAAAAATTTTATTCCCAGAAAAAAATTAGGAAAAAAAAATCTTTCCAGGCATAGTGCAAAAAACAATTCCTAGCTTGGAAGATAGGCCTATAAATTTCACTTAAAAAAAAATATTTCCAGCCATCAAGTGAGGAAAAAAAATTTCTTCTATAGGTGTACAAAACATATATATATTGCCTCTTAGAAAATC